ATGCGCAGAACAAGGCACGATAAGTTAATTTTGGGGATGTCAACCGTTCTTTTTGACGCCATATACTAAAAATCATTAAAGGATTATCCGGAAACAAATTCCGAGCTAGGATTCTCTCATGCTGAAGACAACGGCCAACATATTGCATAAAATAAGCAAGCGTACATAAACCTTCTATATGGGTGGACGGCCGAATTCCACAAAATTTTACACATGCGCCACTTTTTTGATCCCCATCGTTGTCATCGCTTTCAGACGTTATCTTGCTTCTTGTCTTTCTTCAAAGGTAGCGTAGGGGCCAATTCTAGGAGCAGGCAAGAAAAGGGAGAAGCAAAGACCAGAATGAAAATTTGATTGGCCCCCCGTTTCGAATTCTCTATCTAATTCACAAACAGAAGCAGTCGCTAATAAGGTTGACGAATGGACAGAGTTCAGACCACTTCGGTTCAGTTAATCAAGGAAAAGGTAGGCGAACAACCCTGAACTCCGTATTGGTTGCAATAAAGTTACCAAAAAAACAATATGTAAAGAAAGTGTGAAGGAAGGGTAGGCAGTTAATTACACGAAGTTCGATGAATGTGTCAGTGTATGCATACTGCGTCAAAGTGTGAAGTACACGTTACGAGGTGCTGAAATGACCTAAGTAATTTAGAAATGAACGCATATGCTTCAGTCAGGTCTCACTGGTTCCTATACGGACGTCAGACGGAGAGAGCTAGCGGAGAAGCAATAGTAATATAGTACTTAATACTGGGAATTGCATACTTTGTAACGTACGACGCTCGAGGTGGGACAAGGAGGAAAAATTTGTTAGTTTCTAATGAAGTGGTGGTGCATATTCCTGTATTGGTGAAACCTCTCTTAAAATGCGTTCACTGACGAGTACACGACGACGTCCACAGACATAGCCTTCTCTGACTCAATCACCCTGTGACTGAAAAAGAATTTCCTTGCGTCCACTGTTAACCCAGTTACACGTAGTTTGGGTGGATGTTCTCTCAAGCAAGCGGGGTTGGCCAGCTCTAAAAAGTTGCTGGATGCAAG